AAAATATCAAAGATAAATAAAAACTATAGGATATTGAGAAAAAATATGATAATTAAAGGAATTAATGAAGTAAGTCATACAAATATTTCTGTCCCTTCCAGACAGAGGAAAGGTTACAAAAGTGGATCATATTTGATGTGTCCAGAGAACAGCAAGAAGGCAAATGTGTCTTGGTTAGAGAGAAGGAAAGTAAATACAGTAAGAAATGAAATCAGAGTTAGCCTCTGGTCAGATTAAGTTAGATTTTCAAGGTCATGGTAGAGATTGGGGCTTATATTTAGAAAGAGATGAGATGCTGTTGGGGGGTCCTAAGGCAACAATGACGGAATCTTTCTAAAGTACCTCCTTGCCTGCTGTATAGAGTGAAAAGAGTCATTCAGAAGCTGTTACAATAATTCATTTGCAGAAGGTGGAAGCAGGGTGACGTGTCAGAGATGTTGCAAAAGCTGCTAGATATAATGAAAGTTTTGACCAAAGTAGTGGAAAATTAGATTGTAATGGTCAGGTTTTCGATACATATTGTGTTTAGAAAGAATAGAAATTACCTGAGGATATAAAAATATATATTATATATAATATATTAATAAATACATAGTATATACAATATATATAATTTATTATATACAACACATTACATATATTATATATTTATAATAAATATATAATTATATTTATTATATTATATATTATATGATTGCAATATAATTATATATTATATAACTTATATATAATATATATATATGTAGGTATACCTCAATTTATTGTACTTTATTGTGATTTACACATACTGTATTTGTTTGCAAATTGAAGATTTGTGGCAATCCTGAATTGAGCAAGTTTATTGGCAACATTTTTTCAGTAGCATTTGTTCACTTCATATCTCTGTGTCACATTTTGGTAATTCTCACAATATGTCAAGCTTTGACATTATTATTGTATTTGCTATGGTGATTTGTGATCAGTGATTGTATCTCACTAAAAGCTCAGATGATAGCCTTTTTGGCAATATAGTATTTCTTAATTAAGGTATGTACATTGTTTAGACGTAATACTATTGCACAATTAATAGACTACAGTATAGTGTAAACATTGCTTTTATATGCACTGAAAATCAAAAAAAATTATTTGACTCACTTTGTTGTGATACTTGCTTTATTGCAGTGGTCTGAAAATAAGCATGCAATATATCTGAGGTATGTGTATATGTATACCTCGGAAGTCACTCTCAGTCCCTTTTTTGCTTGCACAACTGAGAGGCTGTGGGGGCCTGTTTTAAGACGAGGATGGTAGGGACAGTAAGTTTAGGCTATGAGGATGCTGATCCTAAATGTGGATGTTAATCATGAGATGACAGACACCTCCAGTGAAAAGATCTAGTAGGCCATGTGGGATACATGTCTTGCATGCAGAAGATATTCCTGGCCTTGGCTAGAGAATTGAGTTTCGGACAGTCAGCATGTAGATATTAGTTAAAGCCCTGAGGTCACTGGGATGAGTACAGATGGTATAGAGTGGTGTTTCTGAGGCTGAACTCTGTACTGCTGAAAAATTGAGAGGTCAAAGACAAGGAGAGGAGAAGCCAGCAATGGAAGCTGAGAAGGCATTTGTGGTGAGGCAGAAAGTGAACTGAGAGTGGTGTCCTGTCAGCCAATTCTGCCACTGTACAGATAATAAATGATAACTATGCATACAGATATTAATAAAGTAGCCAAATAAAATTAATCTAAATGAACCATTGCTTTAGATACATCTTCCTAAATTATTTGTAAATATAAAACCTGAGGCGCTGGGGTCGCTCAGTCGGTTACGCGTTGGACTCTTGATTTCAGCTCAGGTCATGATCTCATGGTTCCTGGGTTGGTGCCCCACGTCAGGCTTTGTGCTGACAGCACAGACCTGCTTGGGATTCTCTCTCTCTTTCACTGTCTGTTCCTCCCCCATTCCACTCACAAGGTCTCTCTCTCTCTCAAAATAAATAAACTTTAAAAAAAACACATAAAATCCTATTTAGGCCTATTCTGTTCATTTATATTCTGATTGGAATTTAAAGAAATTGGAATTTGAACTCATTTTGAAAAGGAAATTCTGAAAGCAAATTGAATGATCAAAGTGAAAAAAAAGGGAGAGAAAGTGAGAAGAGAGAGAGATTTCTAGCCTTAAAAATAAGCAAACAGCCTGGGTGGCGCAGTCGGTTAAGCGTCCGACTTCAGCCAGGTCACGATCTCGTGGTCCATGAGTTCGAGCCCCGCGTCAGGCTCTGGGCTGATGGCTCGGAGCCTGGAGCCTGTTTCCGATTCTGTGTCTCCCTCTCTCTCTGCCCCTCCCCCGTTCATGCTCTGTCTCTCTCTGTCCCAAAAATAAATAAACGTTGAAAAAAAAATTAAAAAAAAAAAATAAATAAGCAAACAAAATTCATACCAGACCAGGAACTTGAATGCCACCAGGTCTCCCTCTTAGTTTTACAATTTTGGTCTTCTCTCCAGATATATTTCATTTACTCTCACTGAATGCTCATTTCTCATAAGGGAGGACACTTGACTACTCACAAATCTCAAGTCCCTCACTTTTTGGTATCTAACACTCACACAAAGCCTGAATAGTTTGAAAATTATCATGGAAAATCTCTGCCTGGCTTGAGCCTACTCTTGAACTAGTCACCTCTGGCCAGAGAGTGGACTCAGGTAAAAATGTAGGCATTCCCAATTAACAAAAATGGATGAGGTGGAGAAAATACAAGTTCCCAAAAGTAAATGAAAGAGGGAATGTGATTATAGGAACGGTGCAGAAATGATAGTAAATAACAAGGCAAGGAGGTTCCACTAAATCGTGAGTCCCATTTCATATATGTATCACCCTCATGATCAAACAAAATTTCATTTTTGGATTTGGATTCATTAATTAATTCTTGCCAAGTGTCAATGAGTGTCAAAATATTAGGGATGAAGTCAGTGTAAATTATCAATGGGCTATATGAAATTATGATTAATTGGATTGAATTCAGACTTCTCAGAGTCACAGTTGGTTGGATTTCTTCAGTTTAACTTTATTTTTAATTCAGATTACTAAAGAAAATAACAGGAGAGTTATTCAATTTGCACAATTATTGGAATTAATCTTTTAAGGTTCTCTATTAAGATGTACAAGGTATGTATATTTCCTCAGCAACATGGCATTTCTAAAGGATTCCAGAGAGGACATCATGTTTAGATTACTAAATTTTTTATTGGATTTTTATGAGGTTAGTTGATAACAAAAGGGTTTAAGTTTTAGAGTAAGGTTCTATTAAAATACAATACATATTCCCACCAAATACACTCATATCATGGATATTTAATTTTAAGAACAAATCATCTCACATATTACTCATTTATGTAATGAGGTACAAATTTGATTTTGAGATAAAAAAATGCATATATAACTTGCAAATTGTGATAATGCAAATAATGAAAATTCTATATTCCTAAGGTTTTATGAAATACCTATTTTAGTATTCAAAACAATAACAGCTCATTTACTTTTCAGAACAATCTCTTTGTGATGTTTCTATGTCATCTTACTGTTTTTCTTCCATTTCAAGTGTATTTTAAGTTGTAGAGATAAAATATAAATACCATTTTCCATTCATATAATGTATTTTTATTCTATTATCCCAGTTTCCTCTGGAGCTTTCTAATTTAACAACTCAGTCTCACATGGGCACAACCTTCAGTGTTTAAAATCTGATCTACAATGACCTCACATCATTTTTCAAGAGTTACTTAACTCAAATTAATGTTTTACTCATACACTTAAATATCATATACATTCTCACTAAGATACCCTTATCTACTCTACACTCTTAACAAGATAGTATTAAAAAAATAAATTCAGTGTTTTTCACAGATCTCAAATTTGAACTATTTAGAGGTCCTGCCATCGATATCTCTTTATTATCAGAAGCACATACCGAATTGGCTTATTTCCAGAGACTTTTCCAGTATGTATGTTTCTGATCAAAGTGTGTAGCTTTTTTTTCAATATTTTCAACTTTATTTTTTCATTTGGATTTATCTGATTTCATGTTAAAAAATTGGAAAGTGGGGGCACCTGGGTGGCTCAGTCAGTTAAGTGTCCAACTCTTGGTTTCGGCTCAGGTCATGATCTCATGGTTGGTGGATTCAAGTCTCTCGTACTCTGTGCTGACAGCGTGAAGCCTGCTTGGGATTCTATCTCCCTCTGTCTTTTCCCCTCCCCTGTTTTCTGTCTATCTCTCTCTGTCTCTCAAAACTAAATAAACATTAACAAAATAGAAAAGCAAATATGTATTTAAAATGCTTCTCATTTCCTTTTAGTCTGATATACTAGAAGCATTCAATAAAAAAATTCTAAATATAAAAAACAAGACTTTTATTTTCCAACTTTGAAAACATTCAGGAGAAAAAAAACAACAGAAAATAGATGATTTGTATTTCTCAATAATGATTTATTGCTTTTCACAAAATATAACAGGAATGAGATTTGTTATTATATTTATATAATTTAGTATTAGTATTCATCTATGGGTACACATTTTAAGATTAATTAAATACATATAAATAGTTAATAAACAAAACTGTCTTGCTTGTAAATAACTTACATAGGGGTACCACTTTAGTATTTCACTAAGTGTGTGTGTGTGTGTGTGTGTGTGTGTGTGTGTGTGTGTATAAAATTATATTTTGTCATTAATGTAATAAAGAGAATTTTTAACAGATACCAGGAGAAAAAATGGTAAATACTGTATCTAGTGCTAAAATATTGTCTATATAAAGCTATATTATTTATATAAATAAATATAAAATTTTATAAAAATATATAAAATATAAATATAAAATTATTGTCTATATAAAGCTATAGGCTACTCTGGTGAAAAAAATAACCTTTCTGACTCTGACAATGTTTAGGGCATAAGCTACCTAAAATCGACTATTTCCTCTTTTCTTTCGTTTTATTTGATGCTGTAACTGCAAATGACCTTCCAGTGCTCTGTCCCAGGTAATCAACATGCCAAGACTTCTTTCTCTTCTCACTTAATTATAGAAATGACATTTCCTCTCTGCAAATGTTCTGACTTGGATTTCTACTTCAACAGAAAGATTCCTTTCAAGTATGGACCATTCACTCTCATTTGCACTGTTGCAAATCTGGAAAACATGAAAGCAGCAGAGCATATTTAAAAGTACCCAAAAAGCAATGAACCAGAAGTTTTGTTCCACTTTTTACTAATTATCTTTGTGACATTAGATAAGCCACTTAATCTGCTTGAGTCTCATATTTCTATGTAGTAAATTAGTAGGTAATAGCAAAATAATCTGTTACCTCTTTCATACTTTAATATTTTTTGATTTCTAGCCAGAAAAATACACTGATTTACTAAGTACAGAACTTTTTCTTGCCATTCCTAATAAACTGGGAAAAATAGAGTCTAATAAAATCTTCAGAGTCCCCTGAACAAAATTGTTCTTTTGATTGATGTTCCTTTTACTAGTCATTATGTGTGGTGAAATGAAAAAAAAAGTATATATTGGTCTAATGTAGTCTTTCTTTGTTAACTTCTCCTTTGTTCACAATCACAAATCAGTGGTGGCATGAAAATATACACAGTGGACATGACTACATAAGAGTCCATGCTAAGTGGCTTATTTTTCTGGATTTGCTAATTTACACAGCATAATTTCTCCAGAGACTGAAGGGATCTTTGCTTCAATTTGTGCTGTAGTGACCTGGCTACAGAATCACTGATTAATTAATATTGGAGCATGCCATGTTCTTACCAAAGGAGCGTAAAGCCTGTCACACAGTTTCTGACTATGAGAAATAAAGCCAGTGTGACATAAGGAATACATATCAGTTGAATTGACTTAATGGTCCTAGACACTGGGAACTGGACATCTATGTTTAAAAAAAATAGTACTTACTATGTGTCCCTTCATTTGTTTTCTGCTAGAAAGATATTTTTTCTCTGTACATGCATAATCCTGACTGGAAGCCTGTTCACAGGATTCAGTCTAACATACTAGATGTATCCAAGTGAAATGACAACACGACACTCAATCACCATATGCTGGAAGCACTTGATTAATCCACTTATTTTCCTACTTTAACACACACTTCTGAAAGTGACATGGACCACAGAGCATACAAGAGCATGAGATCTATTCCCAGGGGGAAAAAAAAAAAGGAGAGCTGAATTAATAACAGATTTTTCATAAGTAACGCCAAAAAGAAATTTTAAAAAATTACTACATAGTTCTCAGTTTTTCAGAAAAATGATATGTCATAAGACAAATGCATTTTAGACCCATAGTTCTTCACTAGGGACATCACTTACAAATCACATCCCAGACTATTCAATTAACAATTCTAAATTCTTGCACTTGGAGATTCTTATCCAGTGCATTTTTGTGGAGCCAAGCAATCTATCCTTTAATATATATCACTAAATGATGTCTTTGCAAATGATATGTGAACAAAAGCTTAAGGAACAAGGTCTTAGATTCACCACATATGAACTGTCACACTCATGCTTTTCATAGACTATTCAAAATTACTTTTCTTGCAAATATTCTATGTATAAAGTTGCCAAGTAAGGTGAGAAATTAAGTTGCACAATTTCTTTCCGTTTAAGAAATATTTCTTAGGCTAGCAGTTTTATCTTGATGGTGTCTTCCAAACTCGTAAGAATTGAAATATATTACCTAGACATTTTAATTTTAAGCAAAATAATGAACTGCTTTTCCTATGGTGGAATTATACAGAGAGTTTAATTTATAAATAGGTCAATTATAAGGGCATGTTCCCCATCTTTGGTATCGAAGAAACCAGTCTCCTATTCTCTAATTATGTAAAATGCCCTCTTACTTTTATTGTTTTGAGGACTCACTTTTCCTGTGTCCCTCTCTTCCGTTAAAGCACTGTTATGGACCAAATATGTTTCCCCCAAATGCATATATTGAAGCCCAAACCCCAGTGTTGCTATATTTGCAGATGGAGCCTGTAAGGAAGCAAGTAAAGTCAAATACGGTCAGTAGAGTGGGACCCTGACTCAGTAGGATTAATGTCCTTATAAAAGAAGATACCAGTGCATTCTTTCTCTCTGCATGTGCGCAGAGAAAATACTATGTGAGCACATAGAGAGATGGCAGGTACCTATAAGCAAAGAGAAGAGGCCATTGCCACCTTGATCTTGGACTTTCCAGTTTCCAGAACTGTGAGAAATAAATCCCTGTTGTTAAGATGTTATGGCAGCCCTTGAGACTAATACATGTTTTGGTACTACGAAGTGGGATATTATTGTAACAAATGCTTAAACATGTGGTAAGCACTTTGGAACGGGATAATAGGTGGAGGCTGGAGGAGTTTTAAGGTGCATGTTAGAGAAAGTCAATTGCCATGAAGGGATAGTTGTGGAAACATGGATGCTAAAAAGTGATTCTGCTAAGGGCTCCAAAAGAAAAAAAAAGAGACTGAAGAGAAAATTTAATGTTTGGAAAATCAGCCTGTCCATATTTTCAAAAAATGAGAAAGCATGTTCTCTAGAGAACACTGAAGATGTGGCTGGACGACACTAGATAGATTATGGGATTATATAAATAGATACACTGCTAGTTTGAATTGAAAGTATTGGAAGTTGTACAAATTGAAGGAAGACTGTCAGATCTCTTGGCTTTATACAGTGAGGCCATAGAGTTATCTGGTGGCAGACAGACAGGTGCCTTGCTTTTTTTTTTTTTTTTTTTTTTTTTTTAATTTACTAAGATTTTATTTTAATTAATTTAATTTTTCAAATTTTCACTTAAATTCCAGTCAGTTAACGTACTGTGTAATATTAGTTTCAGGTGTAGGATTTAGTGACTCATCACTTATTTACATCACCTAGTGCTCATCACAAGTGCCCTCCTTTAAGCGCTATTATATAAGAAAAGGGAAGAGTGACTCCTAGGGTGATTTAGAGATCATCAGGGATACTGACTCAGTTTCAACCAGTCAGACAGCCTCTGTCCAGAGTTTTGGAGGCAGGACCTCCACTCCAGTGTAGTATTGCAGCCCGGCTGAGTCCAGAAGGCAGAGCATTGAACCAAGGAGCGTTATTCTCAAGCCTTCAGATCTGTTGGAATTTGCCTTGCTAGGTCTTGAGCTTCTTTGGGACTTGTCACCGCGTTCTTCCTTTCTGATTTCTTCCTTTTGAAATAGAAATGAGTATCTTATGTCTGTTCCACCATTGCGTTTTGAAAGCACACCTGTCTGGTTTCACAGATTTGCAGATGGAGAGAATTAAACCTCAAGATGAATTTGTACATCTATGTACAGTGCCTGATTTAGACAATATTTCAATGAAGCCTTGGTCTTTAGTTTTTAGTGTTGATGGAATAAGACTTTTGGAGCTTCTGGGATAGAATGAATATATTTGCATATGAGAAGGACATGAATTCTGGGACTGAATATTTATGTCCCCCAAAATTCATAAGGTAAAGCCCCAGCTTCCAATGTGCCGTATATGGATACAGGATCTCTGAGGAAGTAATTAAGGTTAAATGAGGTCACAAGGGTGGGGTTTTGATCTGATGGGCTTATTGTTCTTAAAGGAAGAGATACCATAAAGCATTCTCTCTTGGTTTCTGCACACACACAAAGAAAAGGTCAGGTGAGTACAGAGAGAAAGATATGGCTGCAGCCTACAAAGGAAGAGAAGAGGCCTCAGAATAAAACCAATTCTGACAGCACCTTGATCTTACACTTCCCAAGCTCCAGAATTAGAAGAAAGTTAGTTTCTGCTGGGTAGCCACCCAATCTGTGGTATTTTGTTATGGCAGTCCAAACAGACTACTACAAACACCATTTACTTGGTTTTATGAATGTTGCCAGTTGTATTTGAGCTAATAGAGTTAGAAATTTGACTGCAAGATGTATTTCTTCAGGAAAATCTTCAGATAACCATCTACAAAATTTATAATGGCTTTTTTTGTATTGGAGAAATGTAACTCATTCTGATAAAATAAATGGCGGTTGCTTTCCTCAGGAAATGAATATATGCACATAATTTTGATGTTTTGCCACAATGGTGAGGGGAATGAGAAATCCTGCACTGAGGGTTGACTTACCCTCAGTCAATCCTTGGAAGCTCCAGAAATCCTTACACTGCATGTTACAAATGCTTGATTAAGTAATTTGCATAAGAAGGCCATCCTATCAAGTGTTCCTAGTTTAATATCTCATAGTCTGATAGTATCTCACTGTTTTATTGAAGAAAGCACCATATTAATGGCTGTGTTGGGTACAAAGATGAGAAAGACAGGGTCCTGCCTTCAAGAAGTTTATACTCTAGGGGCGTCTGGGTGGCTCAGTCGGTTAAGCGGCCGACTTCGGCTCAGGTCACGATCTCATAGTCCGTGAGTTCGAGCCCCGTGTCGGGCTCTGTGCTAACTGCTCAGAGCCTGGAGCCTGTTTCAGATTCTGTGTCTCCCACTCTCTCTGACCCTCCCCCTTTCATGCTCTGTCTCAGTCTCAAAAATAAATAAACGTTAAAAAAAATTTTAAAAAAAAAGAAGTTTATACTTTATTTGAGAAAAATAATAAGTATGATCCTTTTGGCTTTTGCTTGTCCATTTATTGATAGTGTGCCTTCTAAAATCTAGGTAAGAATAGTAGCAAGTAAACAACTTCAGAGGTGAAAAAAGAAATAATGGGAAATATAAAGGTAATTTTCCTATAAAAAATGGAGAACCACCTCTAATGATTCTTTCTCGATATATATAGGAAATATAAATGAGGTGATGAAACTCCAAAACAGAATGTATACCTCTTATACAACACAGTGTGCTTAACTATAAACTGAACATTCAGCTTTTGCTGTCTTCACATTGATGCTCAGAGTTACAGACTATTATGACTGTGTTCCTAGTGTCCTCTCATGTCTGCTCTAATTCATTGGTAAATCAGTGTAACACCAAAAGGCCAGTTTCACAGCTATCCCTCTGCAATGAAGTTTTTTTTTTCTTTCTCTTCTGTTTCTGTTTATTTGTTTGTTTGTTCATATCTGAGTTTATCATGTGTAAATCATCAGATTTAGTAAGTATTTGCAAAATGGTGATGTTTTTGTACCATTTAGAACAGTATTTATTCTTCGTAAGTTCAATATGTGATACATTACCTGAGACCAACAAACCTTACTTTTATGTATGATTTAAGTTTAAAATTTCAATTAATAGATTTTTCAGAATATATGTCCTTGACTT